ATAATGCAAAGCATTTTCGGTTTCGCTTTTCGGCCAAGTGCATCCAGAATTTTCGGTTTCGGCCCAGAATTTATTTCGGTGCATCCCTAGTTTATATAGTAGTTTATATGACTTGAACTGATTTATATGTCTGCAAAAGTCATTTATAAATTATTTTTAATTTAAATATTTCAAAATAATTTTATTACAAATATGTAATATAGTTTATGTAATTGATAATATTTTATATGTAAGCATTATTTACCTTGAAAAAGTTACATATTTCTTAAAACATGGATTTAAGGTGCAAGGAAAGAATACTTTTTCCTTAAATGTTTAGTTCACTTGACATTAAATCAAGCATTAAATCAAAATATTTATAGAAAATTGAAGGAAACTAACATTGTAGGAAACTAATGCTTTAACATAATAATAACTTTTCCATGACCATGGCACATTTAATTAAACTATTAAAAGATTCTCCTTTTTATCATCTCAGACATCCTTATTTAATTGACCCACATATGTATGTAGATATGTGTGTAACATACAGAGAAACACAAAATAAGTCAATAAAATTAGGAAATAAAATAAAATAAAATTCCAAAAAAAGATAACATATGAACCAAATTGACCATATAATGAAAGCAGAGGTTATACATGACGTGGAGGAAATGGTTTTGCACGAATATTTACCTCTGCTTGATAGTGACACTAAATTATTTGCGTTTTATTCTCCCCACTCCACACCCAAACGCAAACTGTAAACCAAGTCACTGCTGCTTGGCCGTAATCCTTGATTGACAGCCGAGTCGTCCAATCACAGCGAAGCCTCCGACGCATTCTATCCGCTCATTTGCCAGTTCGCTCGTCGAGCTGTACCACGCACACGTCAGCAGCTCTTAACCAATCACAGCTCACTTCCGAGCCGCTTGCTTCCCGTCCTCTTCGCTGTATCTGTTACATTCTTTCGCAGTTTGTATCAAAGGTACTTACAGTCACGCTTCATACCAGTGAACCCTCAGCATCTATATTGGGGTTATTACGCGCTTATTAGTAATCATTTTTTGTGTTTATGTTCCTCAAAAGCAGAAGGGAGGAGAGGAGCCGTCTTCAGTAACATCAGTAAACAGCAGGTAGGGATGATGCTTTCTGACTCTATAATGCTAATCTGAGGCGGGAGGGTCTGTGTGTGCTGGAGACGATGGATGATGGAGATGTGTGGGGTGTTTATAGCTGGTGTGGTTAAGCATCATCCGCTATTGGCCTTGGTCATAATTAAATTACGTTTCCATCTCTAATGACACTGGACTCCCAGTTTAGCTGCATGCTGTCATTTCGATCTTATAAAGCTCCTCGCATGCCGTTTATATTGGCAGTGTGTTGTGTTTTCTGAGTCTGTGTGTGTTACGCTATAGGTCAGTATAGGTGATTAATGATTAACTGTTTTGTTTTGCGATAGACCCTTTTATATAAAAGGTCGGTGTCTTTGTAGGAGGATTAAATGGTCGTTTAATCGATGAACCCTTGCTAAAGTCTAGCAGCTGTTTGTTACTGTTTTATATGTCTTGTTACTCTATTATTTTTTATTGTTTTAGTATTCTTTTGCTTTAATATTCCAAATGACCATATTCCGTCGATGTAATGCAAGCTATGTGAATTAATTTCGTTTTTTAAATTGGGTTAAAGTTCATTCAATTCATCTCTGTGCAGCGCCCTCTTCTGGTCGCTTGTGAAAGAGGCTCATTTGCATATATCCTGCAGTGTAATTTAGTACCAGAAAGTGGTGTCCCATTGGGTGAGGTGGGATTGTGTATTTGCATACCCAAATAGTGTTTTGAACGTACTTTCTTATTAGAACTTTGATTGACGATTAGTCATTTCTCTCTAAAGTTGAGTATATGTGTTTACACATAAAATGTATACACTTGTATAGTGTGTGTGTGAATATATATATATATATGTATATTAACAATAATATCTGATTTAAAAAACTTTAAATGAAACTTGTCAAGCATGTCACG